TGTTGTTCAAATAACATTGTCTGTTAAGTAAGTTAGTAAGAGGACTTAACCGTAATGAACCATAATCGAAATTGTTTTTGTAGGACAGTTGGTACAATACAAATTTTCACGCCTTCGTACAGTTTTATGGAGAAATGAATGGCTTTTAGGTTAATAGGAGAAGTAGAAGCGTGATTGTGGGGAATGACATGTTAAATGTATGAAACTTTCTACAATAGTCTATGAAGTTTATTGACCAAGTTGGTTGAAGGATAGTTGCTATAAAATCTTTTAAAGTTGATTTCGCTGGACTGCTAACCGTCAGTGTAGCGAACGAATGATAGTAGTGATTTTATTTCGCGATCAGATTGTGGTAAACTATCCCAGAGAGTCGAAAAGTTAATTGGAAAGTAATTCGCATGGAAAGGATATCCAGAATACGACAATTTTCCTTTCAGTATAGAAATACGACCACTATATTTATGTGTTATTGCATACTGGATTGAAGCAATGGATTTATAAGATAACTCATTAAGCGTTTTGAAGGAAAAACTTAATTTTATTCGAAGTCTGCACTGCCATACGGGGTTGAATCTAAGTGTAATGCATTTGAATTTTTAGTTTAAAGCACAATAGTTGATAAGAGTACGAGGTGTGAATTGCTGCTGGGCCGATTCCGACATAATTTTATTCTTTCAGGGAACACTACTCCGAATAAACATTTAGTATTCTAGGATTGGTTAGACAAAATTTACACATTAAAATATAACCAAGAAGTCACCGAAACTTAGTAATCTGTGTTAAAACGTGTTATGAGAAGGACATGTCTACAAGTTCACTAGAAAAGTTGAAATCGGGAAAATGTTCACTAAAAAGAATCCATCCGAATTTCTCACTGTAAACATCCGACCTACATTTTGCGCACTACACGGTGGCCTAACTAAGCTCCATACTGACACGGATTTGTATTTGATTCAGTTCGTAAGGAGAAAATGATTACACCACCTTAGGATCATTTTCATAAAAAAAATAGTTTCTTTCTGGATTATAAAGAACAAAGGATTCAAAACACTACTTTGTATTACAACATTTGTGATCGAGACAGCATCCAATAAGGAGAAGTTTGTATTAACTATTTGATGTTAGTGACTGATAAAAGAACCAAGTCAATAAATGTTGATCTGTGATTCACATGTTTGCTCATTTCATTCTCTTTCTTAAAAACAAGAAAACTCTTTTTGAATATCCAGTTTTCACTTTTCATACTTGTATGCTATTAGGATAATTAAAGTATTATTGTGTACAAGTCATTCAACCTATCTATTCAAGTTAGATACCGATCAATATTAATAGTGTCTCCTCGTTTATCTTAGTGACCTAAACTCATGTAAATCAATAGTTTAGTTCTTTCTTGAGTTTCTATACATAAATGAAGCACTATATGACACATGTTATGTAACAGCTACATTTTATTCCCTCTCTATTTAAATTTCATGGTTTTTATTATAAAGGGGTGATTTTTTCAATCAGGTTCTTTGTATTTTACTGCTAAACTTTACATAAATTAGTGATAATTAGTGATCATTTTTAACAATCATATAAGAGCTTATTAAAAACTGGTTCTACAAGGATGAGAGAAATATGACTAAGAGTTTGTCTTTTGAATATTTTGACTAATCATTTAAATAGTATGACAATGTTAAGGTTTAATAGTTGAATTAATCAGTCAATTGAAGCTAGACCACCATAGAAAACCTGGAAGCATTGGACGGTGGAATTCAACTGGATCTGTTGTGAGATCGTAAATCACTGATAACAATGGTGGACAAAGGCACAACTTTGTGGATTGGTTGAAATTAGACATCAACACCGTTAGATGCCGGCCAACTCAGTGGTTTAGAGGTTAAGCGTTTGTGCACAAAACTGGTAGGTCCCGGGATTGAATCTCGTGAGACAGGATCGTAGATGAACACTGCTGAGAAGTCTCATACTCGCACTAAATGGCCGCCCAGTGTTTTCAGGTTTTCCATGATGGTCTAGCGTCAATTGACTCATGAGTTCAATTATTAAGTTATAAAATAATACAATGGCATTATCATCACAGCTAAATTTAGATTTCCTATGAGGATCAAGTGCTTTCATGGAATCTTCTCTTACACTATTCAGATTGTTAGACAAATTTGAACCTGTTCATTAAAATGTCTTCACTGATAAGTCTTGTTATCATTGTGTAAATTATTTATTTATCTATTTTATTCATTGGCTTGACATTTTGTCGTAGTTTTTGGAATCAGCTGTTGTAATTGTCATATTTGTACATGAATTCATGTTAGAAAATCAAGTGAAAATAGTCATGTTTGTTTAAGCTTCTCAACGATGAATAAACATCAAAGAAGGAAAATTTACAACACCAGCTACCTTAAAAAATATTTTCAGTGAGACGACCTTTAAGCGACACCAGAATGACCTTGAGAGTGTCCACTTAATAACCAGGACCAAATGAGGGTTAAAATTTTCATTTACAGTTGATAGTTAGGGTTAGGAATTACATATAAGGTTTTCATTGCGAACTGACCATCTGCTAAAATGTCAAAACTCTATTTATTCAAATGTATGAATGAATTTATTTGTAACAAACTAATATCTCCTATAGAATCATTTAAATCTTTCTTCTTAATAGAGTAGTTCGTATAAGTTTCCATATAAGATCCAACATGAGATAGATTGTTATCACATATCGTTATGATAAGCATCATTGAACAATTTAGAGATACAATCAATCTGCTTTCTTTATTGGTTTTCTGTAACAGTACACCGTAATGGTGATGACAAGTTAAAAAACAAAACCCAATGAACTGATGATTTATGTAGACGATATGACTTGTCACTAATGTAACAAATTCATTCTAAATCATCTTTATGTAAGAATTACTTTCGCTGTAAATTTTCTAGACTCTGGAATAATCTGTCACAATCTATCTGTATGATAAAAATCACCCTCATTCTTTGTTCGCTGCATGGATGCATACTGCTTCTTTGAAAATGCATGAAATGTTCTACCACCTGTAAGTATATCTTATTCCACAAATGAAATTAATGAATTTCCTATGTAAAACCACCTACCTGCTCTCAATTTATGTTAACACTGTCCTTAGCAATCTTAAATAATTTGTATAATATCTTACATTAATAACAGTATATGACTATGTCACATGACACATGCATTATGTCAGAACTGATGAACATTATTTTGATAGATATTACTTTGTCGTTCTTGGTATTGTTTTTGGCTTGTATCTTCCATTGATGTCTTAGGACTGCAATTGATCAGTCTGTTATTGGCATATGTGCATACTGTGCGTATGCCTCGATATTATCTTAATTCACAAGCCATTTGTAAGCAATGATGGATAGTGGCTAGCAGTGGAGTTCAGGACGCGCGTTTCGTCCTATTTAGGACTCGTCAGCTGGATGTACCTGCATCACAGAGTTGATGTTTACTCTGAAACTCGAACGCAGTAAGCGTTCACGCGCGAGACTGATAGGTTTTTGGTTCGAATCTCGAGAGAGGGATAGTGGATGCACACTGCTAACGAGTTCTATAGTAAGAGGAAACGGTTGTACACTGCTTCCAGGAAGAATGTATTTTTAAAAATCTCAGTGAATGGATTTCAATTAAATCCAACGTTTTGCCTGGCAATACGGTCCAAACTTTTCCAAGAAAATATCGAATCAAAATTATCGAATGTAAATAAGTGCATGGTTCTCTGGTTCATTGTATCCTGAATAGGTCATCCAATCAATGTTAACAAAGTTTAAATTAAGTATTCACTTTAGCGTGTGAAATGGAAAATGTTACGATAACAGATTGTGTATATATGTGAGAAGAAATTTCATTAAAAGAAAATTCGGTGGTTATACTGTAGTGACCTACTTTTATCAAGAGAACGCGATTGATTTAATGGAAACAATCATTATTATAACCAATTGTACCAGTGATTGTTTTACTGTGTTCCTTTGTTTAACTGTGGTAAAGACAGCCATATTCCTACTCCATTACTCTCCATTACTTTTCCGCGGATTGTGACCTCGTACTCTTGCCCGCTAATTCCAGCTGTACTCCTTTTGGCACGATCTCGGTATTCGTTCAAAACCACGAGATTGCCAACGAAATAAACTTGGTTATGCCCTACCTTCGCCTTTTGATTCGTTTAGTACGCGTTTCCTTGTAGTGGTGTTCATAGTCAACCGTGACTCGACACCACGCTACAATACTACTTACTTATACACACATTCTGTTATCTTAACACTTCGCTTCATACCACATATCTCTTACACACTAAAGTAAACACCTAATTTAAACATTGTTAACATTGATTGGATGACCTATACAGGATACAATGAACCAGAGAACCATGTATCCTTATTTATATTCGATAATTTTGATACTTAATTCTATATCTCCTTGAAAAAGCCTGAACTCAAATGCCAAAATGAAACGTTGAATTTATTTGAAATTTATTCTCTGAGATTTTCCACTTTAATGTTTCACATTCAATTGGAGCCCAAATATTATGAAACGATTTTGATTAAATTTAAACAAAATTTCTTATTTCTTATGATTATTTTGAATGATTTTTTAAAATTTATATACAATGGATGAATAGAATGATCGTCTAGGAACTAGTTTCTAATCAATCCATCTATTGGTAATATTGTCAACTTTATTCATCAACATGTTGTTCGCACAAATAAACTATTAAAATGTATTTACAAATATGAATATAAACAAATAAATAGCCTGTTATATTATAAAACATTGATGGATATACATCTAGATAGATATGCCTAGTCTTACATTGTAGTTGATTGAATAACTAACTAACTAGTTTAGGTGTTTATATGTAGTTTTATGTCATTTAAATATTCGCCTTAGATATTGAATAATATGAAACACGTTTAGTGATAATAATCTATAACGAATATAAATAGACCATAGAAACTAAATATTGAATTTTATAATGAACCATTTAAGATTATTATTCTATATAAATTGTTCATTATATTTTTATTGTTTTATACAATCTATAATGATGACTGATACCATTCAACAATCATCTATAAATCATATTGATTTAAAAGTAAAAGAAGATAAAGAACAAAACAATCTATGGAAGAATATAGTTCAACATAATAATGAATCCCAATCATTAATGATAAGTCCAGTAAGACCTGGTATTTGGAAAAAATCTAAACGTACTAGTAAATATAAACGTAATAAACATCGTCGAAAATTTAATCGTCATAAGAAAATTTTACATTACCTGTAAAATTAAATATACTAAATGAAATTAATTTTGAACTTAAATGTTATTTACTACTTAAATAAAATTTCATTTTTATACATTGAATAATCACGATACTACTTGTAAGTTTGAATATATATATATATATGGTAAATGAGATTGTCACATGTATGTTTGATCTACTATTCCATGTTGAACTATTATTGATAAAAAGTTTGGCTATTGTACTTTATTATACTTACTTACTATCCGTACATATATCCTCTTCCCCCCTCTCCCCTTCCTCCTCCTCCTTCTCCTCCTCCTTCTCCTCCACCTGCTGCCCCTCCTCCTCCTCCTCCTCCTCCTCCTCCTACTATTACTACTACTACTATCAATTTGTACTTTTACTTATTATGTTCAGTGACGTAATCTATTATATTTGAGATGATGGACTGAAATTGCCTTCATTGATTTAACATTATCATATAAATATCGATGTATATTATTTAAACAATCATTTCATTTGATATTTCAACTTAGTAACTATCATTTTATGTTTCTTAAATGTTTCATTTTTAATTGTACGAACATTATAAACTTAGTTTATTAAGTTAAAATTTATGGGTGTTATCTTTGTGAGAGTGATTTGTTGAAATAAACATTCTTAATTTATTGAATATTTTCAAATCTTTAAAATATTGAAAATTGATTGTTTTTATTGGTCTAGAGGGTAATCGTTCATGCTTTGGTTCGAATCCCGAGAGGGAGATCGTGGATGCGCATTGCTGAAGAGTTCCGTATTAGGTGGAAATGGCTGTCCATTGCTTCCAGGTTTTCTATGGTGGTCTAGCTTTCATTGTCTCATGAATTGAACTATAAAACGTTTATAAGTAAACATTTGGATACTAATATTGTACCGTAAATTCTTTTTAAATCTGACATTAAACAAATCAAATTATCTCATTTACGATAAAATGGGAAGTGCCTGAAAATTTAAAACTATATACTTAATATTTATTCGAGTAGCTGATCATCAAGCAGTAACCACCGTCGTTTTCTCTAGTTTTAAGTATCAGTGTGATCAAATTATTCAAATTTACCAATTACGAAGAATCTTTTAGCACTTAACAAAGCATTCTGTCATATTCAGGTCGTATAGACTAGTCAGTGGATGGAGAGTCAATCAATAGACTTCGAATAGCCAAAATATAGTAGATTACAAGGTAAATCAATCATTTATGCTTCTCAGTCTTACAGAAAGTGACTTACAACCTCATTAGGTCAACGAGACGCATCACATTCTTCTTCCTTCAAATAAACAAAAACTGGACTACGTTAAAACAAAGTTTAGCGTCAATTTGTTTTGAATATATATTAGATTTTAATGAATTTCTTAGTTTATAGAAATTCAGGTTGATATTTTTATACATAAAATTCCTTGAATCTGAAGCAAACATATTTAAGAATATGAATCGATACTTGGCACTTTTGATCAAACTTTCAGGAGTTTCCCCTAGAGTATAACAATATCAGAAATAGAATTTTAACTCAAATGACTACAACATCCTGGGTCCAAATCCTGCTAAAGGAATCGTAGACACGTACTGGTGAAGAGTTCCATAAATAAAATGAAACAGCCGTCCAGTACTTCCAAGTTTTCGATGATAATCTAACATCAATCGATTAATGATCTCAATCAAAATACAAGATCTTTGTAAAATTTCCAGATTTATTTATATTTTCATGAATAAAAGGTTAAAGTGATACTTCTTTTCATGATAATGATCTTGTATTTCAACATAAAAACAACAACATTTTCTCTTCAATACGCAATTTTCTTGTTTGTTATCTCAGCTAGTTGATGATTTATTCCGTTGAAATGAGTCAAACCTACAGTTCTCTTGTATATTCTTTACTTGAACCAAGTTTCAAAAAAGGATTTCCATGATTTTTTGTTTTCTTTCCTAATCTTAAGTTCATTCCTTTTTTTCATAAACATTTTAAGTAGATAATTTCAATCTATTCTGTGACTTCATTAAGTGTTATAGAGAAATATTTATGGGCCTATGCTCCTTCACGAGGAGTAACAGGCGTAAGTAAGTAAGTAACTTAGTTACTAGAATATTCTTAAAGTTGGACAAATTATGATGGATGATATGGTGGTATAGAAAATGACTAGAAATTAACAAATACGATTTGAATCGAAGATAATAATTTGTAAGATTTCAATTTAAGATTGCCATTAATACAATTATAAAGGATTTCTGATGCTTCGTTATTTGATCACTTCGATAAACGTTATTATTTAAATTTCAATGGTGTTTGAAATCAGAAAGCAATGAGAAGCGGCAACTATAGTTTATTAGAGGATAGCGCAGGTCATAAAGCTATAAGCATATCAAACTAACTTGAAGTGGAGAGGTGAATAAGTATATGAGAGTAACTACATAAGCAAATTCATAGTCAAATCGCATAAGAGCGCAGCATGGCAAAGCAAAGACTAATAATTGGATTTGATTACATATATACATGTGGAGGAGAATGAATCATTGAGTGATATTTAAGCAATCAACATTCTAGCTACAGTCTGTCATGCGATTTAGTGATCATGGCGGTACAAAGAAATATGCGAATTGTTATTGTTGTTCAAATAACATTGTCTGTTAAGTAAGTTAATAAAAGGACTTAACCGAAATTAACCGTTCGCTTCAAACTCCATCTCATTATCCACTTAGATACTGAGTTCTGTTAGCCACCTACTTGTGCAATGGGGTCAAGTTTAAATTAACTTGGTGTCGTTTTACTTTACTTTTCTATGTCAATAATCACTTTTAAGAATTATTATCCTTAGATATACTTGATTCATACTTCATTTAATGATCACTAACCCCAATAACGGTAATAATAACATTACTTTTTATTCACTTATAAAACAAAAGAAGATTATTTGATATAACACATGAAACGTTTTCTATAAACAACTGGTTCTATTGTACATTCTTTCTGCTAGTTGGAAGATACATTATAGTGCTAAGAGGGTATTAGACATGTAAGTTAACCACCAGTTCATCAAGTCAACGAAATTTCAGAATTTTCTCTTCATGATATATCAATTCACATTCGATTCGTATCTATTCGTTTCAGTTTATATTAGTTGTGAGTTACGAACCATTAAAATTGTTTTAATACGGACGGAATTAATTAAGAACTTCATAAGGCGGCAAATAACAAATCTAACCCTTCAACAGTTATCTTCAATTATAGAATCCAAAAAAAAGGAAATAGTGCAAAAGATCAGTAAGGGCTTAACAGCTGCTTTGTTTTGTCATGTGACATCGCAACAGTGTGTATTTATGACTGCAAAAGTAATCAAATTCAAGACGTTTAGGCCCTGCAGGGTACTGTTAGTTTTCAGATCACTAATTTGGTATCAAACGATTTACATTTATAACCTATGGTGGTCGATATTCAATATAATCTTTAAACTTCGTATACAGTTTCTCCTGATAACTGTCAATAGATAACTCCCCAATCGTATAATAATCAGAAGGCGAATATGAAGTGTTGATTAAGTTTATTATTGCACCACTCACAGATAATGAATCATCGAATCAATTAAGCGACTAACACGAAGGCTAGCAGAATGAGTATGTACGTAGGCAGTAAGCAATGCTCAAGCATATTTATTCATAAAAGAGCAACAATAAGAAAGATACAATAATATATATAAGTTATTTATTGTACGAATGACTTTATTCGTTGAATAAGTTAACAAAAGGGTTTAACCAAATTAAATACGAACAAACTCAATTGCACATGAACTGTTAAAAACTTCATAAGAATCTAACTTGAAAGCCGAATAATTTAGTAGTCAATATCAGATCTCATGATTTTATGCCTACTCTTACATGAAACTGATGAAGAAAGTCATCATTCAGCTACAAAATACAATCAAATAATTCTTCAATTGATGTTACTTTAAAAAGACAACTACTACCAAACATTTTAAGTTGCGGTCAGACTATAATTTATAAACGACGCTAAATTGATCTTAAGAATGTCCACCTGATAACTAAAATCAAATGATGATTACAAACCAGTGTGAGGAATTAGAATTATGATTTACAGTTCATGATGAAAGTTAGAAATTAGATTTAGGGTTTTCGTCACGGACTGATATCAACTATAGTGCCAAAACTCTATGCATATGAATTAGATGGTGGTTGGAGGTAGTCGACAAGAAACCCTAGAGCCGGGTGTCGTGCTAATTGGCACTCGTCAGCAAGGTGCACTCGTGATCTTGAGGGAACTGGTGCTCCCTGGTGGATTCGATCTCGTGTCACCCAGCTTCACAGTCAGAGACGTTATCACTAAGATATCCGGGCCGCAACTGACCTCCTGTAGGACTGAGATGTAATCACAATTGATTGATCACTGGGTGGTGATCAATGTCATGTGTGTCGAGTCCTTATTACTGCAGATCGAATGCTGTCGACCATGTTACAATGTCGCCACCAGTCTAGGTGACTCGACATTACGAGCACTAAATATTGAGATTAGATGGTGGTTGAAGGTAGTCGACAAGAAACCCTAGAGCCGGGTGTCGTGCTACTTGGCACTCGTCAGACACTCGTCAGCTCATGTATATGAATGAATGAGTGAATTTCGCTCCAAAATCCGAGAGCTGTTATCTTATACACCTGATTAGTTCATCCATAACTTATCATCTCACCCAAGTTACTATACAAACATTCGATCCTTAAGCATAAGATGAAGTAAGCAAGAGACAGGAACAAAAAGAAAGAACACAAACGAGAAACTCATCATGGACAAATTTATATTTAACTAATAACAAGTAACATTTATTTATTTTTGTTTATTTCTAAAATACATTTATCGCTTTTCTTTCTTTCTGATTAACTCTATCATAGTTTTTTTTCTATTGGATTAAAATGTTGCCCATAAAAAGGAATTAGCCACGTAAAAATAAATAATCTCGTTTATTTTGATTGGATAGAACAGCTATATTAAGGGAAAGAAAAGAGAAAAATAAACAACAATACATACAATATACTACTTGTTATAATAGGAAATGAGTAGTTATGTAAATATTGAATTTAAGATTATACTGATATTATTATTATTATTATTATTATTATTATTATTATTATTATTATTATTGTACCAAAAACTATAGACGATTAAGATATGATCTAATAATGAAGAGTTTAGAAACAAGAAGAAATACTGTAAACAGTGCAATCACCAAACATCTCTTTGATCAAGTAAATAGATTCCTTGCAATCGTTTATGGTGATTAGTAAACAGCCAAACTTCAGTCTTCTGAAGTTTGCTGAGGCCGTTGTCATCCGGTTTCAAAAAACCTGACCTATGTGTTCAAAAGGAGATGGTTATTAAACCTTTCCTTGGATTAGTGACAAATACTCTTTCGCTGCATCGTAAAAATTGTTTTTCTTTTTCTTCAAACTCTTTCTTGCATTTATTACAACATCATTTATTTCAACTATCTTCCAAATGAATAATCTTATTTTATCAACTGAGCTCCACTCAATATATTTCTATCAATATTTACTCATTACGAAATCACTTGTTTCTGGTCGTTTGCACTGTTGTCACAATCAATGTTGTGGAATGTACTTTTACTTAAGGTATATATTTACGATATTCAGTCTATTAATTTTATTTACACCCTTGCTATACTATACGAATATGTCTTCAATATAATTTCCAACCAAACTCTTTCATGTAAGTAATTGAAACCCATTACGTAATTATGCTTTTAAATATCACAGGTTGTAAGCAGCTGACGAGACCCAGACGAAATAAAATGAATTCATGATATTGTGCTAGAATCCTTTTGTTCTAGTACTTTTCAAAATGATAAAGGAAACTAAATGTATGAAATAATAAAAAAGTTAAAATGATACCTGTAATTGACAGTTTTATTATTAATTTTTCAAATAAGTACCATAATTATGTTTAGCAAATGAGCTTAAATGTGCTTTTCTAATTAATTGAGTAAATAGAATCATGAGCAGATATAGCTGTAACATAGACAACTAATTCAGTTCACATCACTTGACCAGCTTAAAAAATGGGTTGTTTTTAGAATTCAACACACTTATAAACAGATGAGACATTAGAAATCTAAAATCTTCATCAAATGTTATAAGTTTCAAATAAATGAATTTTAATTATTTCATACACATATTTCGCTTTATCATTTTGAAAAGATCAAGAACAAAAGGATTCTAGTAGAATAGCATGAATTTATTTTATTCCATTTGGTTCTCATCAGCTGCTTACAACCTGTGATATTTAAAAATCATAATTACATAATGAGTTTCAATTACTTACATGAAAGAATTTGGTTGGAATTTATATTGAAGACATAATCGTATATTATAGCAAGTATTCGAACACATAAATATTGGTACAAGAGGGCACCGAATATATATGTGCCACACCATATTTGTGTGTGTGGGCTGTGATACTGCCCGGGTGCCCAGACCGAAACAGGTGGTTTTCTTTGTGGGCCACACCCCGAGCCTTTGACCTAAAGGTCTGATCCACAAGGCAGTGGAGCATCGTGAGGAGATGCGGTCCCACGGTAGTGGCTGACCAACGATTTGTTCATACGCCGTTTTTTCCCACAGGATACTGGAGCCCATGTGCACCAGTGGTTTTAGATCCGGTTAAAAAGCTGGACATTCGCTTTTCGTCCTCTCATTTTCGTAAACAACACCCCTGCCACGAGAAGGCAGTGAGGACTTCCCTGGCAGAGGCTGTATATGCGTGGCCGTGTGAGAGCATTTCGAGAGGGAGAGCAGGATCACCTCACTCTCGGCCATTTGTAGGGGCATTTATAGCAAGAGTGTAAATATAATTAACAAATGCAAGAAAGAGTTTAAAGAAAAACGAACAAACAAAAAACATCTTATTTATTTTACTCATAGAAGTTAATCATCACTATCAACAATAAGACACTACAACTACCGAAGTAGTTTGTTCGTTAAAAAAATTGCGGATATTGCAAATTCGCGCCTTATTGCATAATCACCTGACATTTGAAAAAAGCGTTTATATTTTTTTACTTTTTTCTATAAAGACAGGTACATTTGAATGTCAACCTTAAAATATGAATTCTGTCCTGAATTACACCATTAACCACCACAAACTATCAAAGACTGATTGATTTAATTATAACAATCAATAGCAATGAAACGAAAACCTTCACAACTATTATCCGAATCTACCTAGTGATTAACAGGTTTATTACAATCAATGGACGTATATTATTAATATTTATGTTCATATTATGTACAAAACCTCAATAGCTACATTCATAAAGACATTTGTACAAATAAAATACATTGTGGATTACAATTGTTTTAGTATTCCATTCTACATCTCTGTGCTAATGTGGCATGGCAACTCGAACTGATGTACGTACGTACAAAGTTCTACGTTGTTACTAACTGACTGAGTCTAGTTTTCTGATCTTGAAATTTGCACTTTAGAATTTGTAGCTCTCCCATGTCCTCAACCCATTGGAGTGTTTGTACTCGACAATCATTTAATAACACTTTTTTAAAACTTGTTTAATACTTATAATTAGTTTATTGTTATCAGCTTCAAATGGTTTACATCTTTTTAACCCTTTTCACACTTATCTAATCACTAATGATCATTCATACTGTATACAGTATATATACAATACAATAGGGAAAACTTTCATTTAGGATCAGATCATTTATTGAACAATCAAATTAGATTTCCATTAACTGTTTAGATAGTAACACAATTCTCTTGTGATATTAGCCATTTACAACCATTTTATAATCCGATTAGTTTCTATATTATTAAACTATCTGTTAATTTACTATTAAAAAAAAACAATTGCATAACTTCATTAAGTATCACAATTTACAAAAAGTGTCTACCATTTCATAATCATTTACTCACAGAATTTTCGACGATCAAATGGTTCCTCATTTTCTTCAGGATAAAACTGAAAAGAAAAATGTAATATAATTACAATATATATTTAACGTTGCCTGTAGCTCTTCTAGAGTTAATGCCGGTTCCAAGTTCGAATAAAGGAAAAAGGTTTGAGCATGAGGTTGGTAACCCCATCCTGTAGAACAAAATCTTGCTTAAAGAAAAACGCCAACCACATAATCTTTAATACGAACGTCAAGACAGTTCTACTACTACATAGAATTGAAACTTGGACAACTACTGCAAAAATCATTAAAAAGGTACAGGTATTTATGAACAGTTGTCTATTCAAGATACTCAATGTCCGTTGATTGGATACCATAAGCAACAGCCTACTGTAGGAGAAAACAAACCAACTTCCAAATGAAGAGAAAATTAGGAAAAGATGTTGGAAGTGGATAAAACATACAGAAATAACCAAACTGCATTACGAGACAAGCGCTAACTTGGAATCCTGAAGGGAAGTGGAAAAGGAGAAGGCCAAAGAACACATTACCTCGGGAAACAGAAGCAGATATGAAAGGGATGAATAATAACTGGAAACAACTGGGAAGAACTGCTCAGGACAGGATTGGATAGAGTATGCTGGTGAGTGGCCTATTCTCCTCTACGAGGAGGAACAGGCACTAGGAAGAAGATAATACATACTCCTCATTGATGTAAAAGAAAGGTAGGATTTGTTAAACGATGGGGGCGGGAGGAAGAAATTTTATTTAAACATTATCAAATGGATTGATTAAGTTATACATTGGAATAATTTAAATGTGTCAAGTATCTATAACTAATTTTAATCAAGAAACCACATTAATTCGCGTATGATTCTTAGTAAATCCCATCCATAGAACATCTTAGTTATAAAGTTAATGTATATAAAAGTTGTGAGCAAATGAATTTGAATAAATGCTGAAATATTTCATTACTGTCAACTGGTTAACTCAATTGCTCCTCTTATCTTAATATATTGTTATTATTATTAATGGCTTTAGATGGTGGTTGGAGGTAGTCGACAGGAAACCCTGGACCCGGGTTTCGTGATACTTGGCACTCATCAGCAAGGTATACCTTTAATCTTGAGGGATCTGGTGTTCCCTGACGAATTCGATCTCGGGTCACCCAGCTTCACAGTCAGAGACGTTACATTGCCACATTACAACATGGTCGATAGCATTCGATCTACAATAATAAGGACTAGACACGCATGACATTGATCGTCACCTAGTAATCAGTCAATTGTGATTAATGGCTTTATTCCATATTATGTCTTTGGTACAATAGAAAATTCTCAACACAAAGTATTTTAACAAGTTTCCTTTTCTTATTTCTTCATCTATCCTAACGATAAGATATTGAGTGATCACCAGTTAGATGTTAGCAGTTTAGTCAATCAACATCTGAACACTATTCATTCTTTTCGCTAAACATTGCCAGCCACCACAATGTCTTAGATTGAGCCTTTTGTAACTTTTACAACGAAAGGTTGTACACTTTTCAGAATCGCACCTGAATAGGTTATGAGATTAACAAGCATGATGATGTATTTTGAGATGGTCGGGAAAATTTGCAAATCAGGTGCATGATTTTGATGGAGCACAGATAGAAGTCTATTTGAAATTTGTGCTGATGATGTCGTTCAGAAGAACGATGAAAGCTCCACGACCAAACCATCCAGCTCAGAGAACAAAACTCCATTAAAATAATGATGTATTAAAACAAACAACAAATGACTTTTTGAAATATAGAGATGGCAGGAACAAGTAGCTCAGATGTTCAAGCAGGCCGCCATTGATATTTATATAGTAATAAGAATTAAATGATTATATTTATCATAGATAGATATAAAGAGGAGTGAAATAAAATTTTAATTTACTCTCGGATAACAACCAATGATTCTAACTGTATTAGGCTGAATGTTTTTTATCACACTGAAAAGTATATATACTATCTCGATTTTATGTTTTTACATAAACAATCTAGTTGATTTTCGGTGAATGTGATTATGATCATTTCGATTAAAATACTCCCTTGTTTTAAACATATATGGATGTGAAACTATTGTTTGGTGTCTGGATCATTGAAATGCAGTTAAGCGAGTTTACCAATAAATTTTAAGCTATAATCACTTTATAAGCAAAGATGGATAGTGGCTAGCAGTGGAATCCAGGACGCGCGTTTCGTCCTGTTTGGGACTCGTCAGCTGGATGTACCTGCATCTTAGAGTTGATGTTCACTCTGGGACTCGAACTCAGTACCGTTCGCTTCACACGTCATCGCGTTATCCACTTAGCTACTGAGTACTGATAGCCACTTGCTTTTGCAATGGGGTGAAGTTTAATTCACTTGATATTGTTTTTACTTGAATCGTCCCATTGATGTTTTAGGACTGAAATTGATCAGTCTCTTATTGATCAATTTCAGTCCCTAAAACATCAATGGGACGATTCAATTAAAAACAATATCAAGTGAATTATAATCACTTTAGTTTACCAGAATTGTACTTTATGGTTTCGTATTATATTGTTATCCAATGTGATTTTCATAAAATATGAATGTACTAAGGTAAACTTTGCTGTTGGTGTACGGTTAAATGATCGTCATTGCTTAACTGAAGAATGCAGTTTCAATTTTCAAAAAAAAATGTTTCAGACTTTATATGTAAAAACATTAAGCCCCCCTCAATTTTTTTAATGTTACATCGTTTGACTTGTCACTGACCACTAAATTGATTTAAACTTTCCACAAATTATACAGAATCGATAGTTGAGCTAAACAATACACAAGCCAAATGAGTAAATCTTAGAGAAGAAAAAATCAATGATTGAAAGAATAATTAAGAATTCACTTGGTATTGTTTTGGCTTGTATCTTCCCATTGAGGTTTAAGACTGCAATTGATCAGTCTGTTATTGACATATATGCATACTGTGCGTATGCCTCGATATTACCTTAATTCACAAGCTATTTGTAAGCAATGATGGATAGTGGATAGCAGTAGAATTCAGGACGCGTGTTTCGTTCTATTTGGGACCACTATCTATCACTGCTTAAGAAAAATCAAGGTTTATAATTAATCACACAATATTTTAAATATAATGTCAACTGTCCTATTTGATTTTCATTATGAACGTAGTACACTTCTCGTTATGAACTAGTCTTATTTCAAAGTTATCAGTTAACTGGTTTTCAACGATTCCTTTTATTCATCCTCAGTGCGTTATTACTTACACTTAGGAGAAATAACAAGAAAAACTTGGAAAAAACAAATATCCTCTTGATTGTGAAAACATTGTGACCAAGGTCAATATTATTAAGCCGGTTTATTTTACACAAGTCATATAAGCGTCATAAGCGTATCCACAACATGCTATTTCAATTGTTTTACTTAGTACTGGTTAGTTATTCTGAAAGTAACTTCAATGTATGTATCTTACTCATACGTAGCTGTGCAAATATTGCAATCAGTCTCCTTGTTTTGTACATGTTTGAATTGAATAACTTTGAATTGTATCTTTATGTACTCAAACAGTTTTGGGAATAGTTTAAAATTGTAATTAATTCAAAATATCACGGTAGTATTTCCAGTTGTGATAATCGAATTGTCTTAATCTCATGACTGTGTTATTGCTTGTTATCATTAGATGCTTTATTGTGAAATGTTTTCTTATACACGATATTCTGCACATCCATCAGATTGCCCAAAATATCTCTAAGTTAGACACAAAGCATTATAATAACTCGTCAAGATTCTTAATAGTAAAATCTTAAGATTATGCACTGCACTTGCTAGCATAGTTTCCTTCTTATCTGTCATTCGAATATACATGAGAGGAATATATTAGAATCAATGCATTTAATAGCTGATCAGAGAGAAGAAAAGTTATACTACTAAAAAGAATTCATAACAAGGTTTCTCTATTGTAAATGACTAGCGGATACTGAGTATTGAAAAAAAACATTTATAATAATTCATCATCTTTAAGTTATTGCAATTGGAATTAACGTGAAGAGAAATCATTTTGCATGATTGTACAACTGTTGCTATAGTAACAAGTAAAGTAATTATTATTATTCCTATTATTCTAGACCTGAAATGGGTTTTTTTTTGTGGAGATTGTAGTAATGTCAGTGGTTAAGATCATGAGTCAGTTGAAGCTAGACCACCATAGAAAGCTTGGAAGTACTGGATGGCCGTTTCGTTCTATTGTGGGACCTCTCAGCAGTGCGCATCAACGACCTCTTCCCCTGCGAGATTCTAACGCAGGACCTACTGGTTTCGACTGCGAGCACTAAACCACTAGACCACATAGCCGGCGTCCAACGGTATTGATGTTTAACTTCAACTAATCCACGAAATCGAAAGACACATTAACCATTGTCTTGTCTGTTATTCGTGACACTAGCTCAAGTTAAAGATATGAACAGTTGATCAATGTAACTAAAATCTATTAACGCTAGAAAAAACTTTACCAAAAACTTACGTGTTGACGCAGAAAAATGTTGTTCAAGTATCGATTAAATTCACGAAGTCGATCCATAGTTTTCTTTTTATTTTGATCATTTAATAACCATGTATCATCGGTATTAGTAACATCATCTACAGTTGGATAACTACTTCTTAATGTATTAAATGAATGAACTGGATAAATTGTTTGACATAAACAAAATAAGTTTAAATAAATAAACAATTGTAAGAGATTGAGACAAATTCCTTCGGTTGATTTAAACTGTTGGAAGTGAAAATAAGCCATTGAAAATTTATTTCTAAAAGAATATAAACAATATAAAAGTTACTGAAATCAATATATAAGTAGTTTAGATAATACTGTTAATGTAATTGAAATGAATGAAACATCTTGACGATTGATATTGAACAAGATCAATCTCTTGACGGAAGTCTTCTTTTATGGGTGATCAATTCGAAAGGTGACAACTATAATCAAAAACAATTCTATCATTGTATTAACAATCATGTACTTATCAAATAAATAAGTACAGCCGTCCAGTGCTTCCAGATTTTCCATGGTGGTCTAGCTTCAATTGACTTGTGATTTCAACCTGTGAAATTTCTAAACAATACTCTCCACAAAACCCATTCTGAAAATAAGTACTTCTATCAAAGAAAAGTATGGTTACCATACTTTCGAAGTTATATATTCAAATCTTTCATAGTGTATTCCATATAAGAATCATTTCTAACTATTCAACGAGCTACATATGAAAAGGATGAATAACAACTGTAAAGAGCTGGAAAGGATTGTCTAGGACAAGGTTGGAGAGTGCTGATGAGTCATTCATGCTCCTCCATGAGGAGTAACAGTCATAAGTAAGTAAGTAAACGAGCTGTTGAATATATTATATTATAATATCCACATGGAATTCATTGACGACTGACTATTTAGAATAGCGTTAGCTATTTTCCAGCGTCGTATAACATACTTAGATTGGATAATACAATATTAGTTTTTTTCTAAAATAAACAAGTTTCTGAAATCTTTAAACTTGTTCTTGACATTTAGAAAAGTTCCATCAGGAATACAAACAAATCACAGTTCGGAAACTGTCGATACAGAGTTGACCAACTTTTAAGTAGATGCGATTGATTAACTAATATGTTTAAAGAAAAACTTATTCAAGTAAACTATATGAACATGTCTACATAATTGTAGTTAAATATCAGTCTTTTGTTTAGACACATTCTGAAGAAACTAAAATTTTGAATAATGTAAGAACAACATGATTTATAGTCTAGAATGGATTAATAAATCTATGCTTCAATGAGATAATCATTTACTGCTTCATACTATGCTATGGTTATCTATCTACTGTAAATGATCCTACTAGGAGTCATTTTAAATGTAATTATTATTATAAAACGGATCTAATGAATAAACTGCTATAATGCTTTCTAGAATTAGGCTTTTAGATGAATTCTTTTAAAATGAAAATAATTTCTTGATTGAGATCATGAACCGATTGGTGTTAGACCACCATGGAAAACTTGGATGTATTGAACGACCATTTCGTCCTACTATGAGACTTCTCTGTGGCACTGCACATCCATGATCCCGCTCGCGGGATTTGAACTCACGGTCTTCTGTCTCATGCGCGAACGCTTAACCTAATGGACCAGTGAGCCGGCATCCAATGGTGTTAATGTCTAGTCTCAACCAATCTATGAAATTGCTCGACCATCTTCCATTATACTGAGGTAGATACCTCTCTCTACCAGACACGGATCAGCTCCACGGGTCACGGCTTGTCACTAGAACTCCGGGAATTCCCTCACAACGTTATTCACTAGTGAGCATGATCTCAATCAAAAACGTATTAATCTCCACAACACTATACTGATAAAAACAATTGTAATGATAAATCTACATTAGACTATTTAATTTTCTACAATGACTTTAAAATATATTGAATTAAATAAATGTGTCTAACAAGTCATATGCTTTTAAAGAAACTAAAGGAAACATATTTACTTAGCAACTATTTAATATAAGATTATAGTTGACATGGCAATTGATTTAAGAACAAAAAACGATTATTAAATTGAATTATTTTAGATAAATTAAAGAGAATCTTTGTTTGTTTGTATTTTTGTATTTTGATTAAATCCTCTATAGATTTACATCAATCCCCCCTAAAAAGCAAAAAAAACAAACATAAACATGATTTCACTTCGAACTATCCACTAATATGATAGTTTCCCTTAGAGACAGAATGTACATAATACAAAAAGATCATTCAATAGAGAATACTAATGAATTGATAAATTGACTGGAGAAAATACAAAAAACAACTACACTGTAATTTTTGTAGTTCATAAATTTGTAGGAATGCTCTTTTTTTCCTCTATTTGGAATAGAAACAAGGGAAATTTTCTATTTCATTAAAGATAATATGATTTACCAATTTATTTTGTCTTTATATTCTATTAGACGTAGTTCTAAGAGATTACGATGCAGATTAAGATGTTCATCAGGAAGATATTTCTATAAATTATATCTCGATATGAAGGAGGCGAAGTGCTAGATATTGGACAGTCAGTCAGTCCGTCATAAGTGACATGAAATCTAACACATATATGTGCAAGGGTTAAAATAAACATATCATTCCAGAACGATGAAATGAACTAGTAAGTGTCAAAGATTGTAGCAATGATGAGATATACAGAATGCGATTTAAAAAGAAAGCAAGAATTAAAAAGTATAAAATAAGTTTTATAATCAGTACTTAAGAAAAAAGTTAGTGGTAAATTCATCTACACTACTGTAACCGATTCCTAACTATACCACAAAATATGTACTACCGATGGTTATAACAATCGTGCCGATCACAACCAAATAGTCCTCACCTACAAACACAGTTTAGTCCAGCCATTAATTACTTCATAAACTAATATCAAGTTTTAGTTAGGCAGCTTCCAGCTTTCTTCCACAGCGTCACTGAATATTATGTGTGGATGTAGACGGTTGTTTAGCGTATAGAATAGGTAATAGATGTGTAAACAAGAATATAACCGTCCATTTGATAAGTTATAAAGACAACTAAACCTTTACACATAGTAATTAGACGTTATACGGATAATGACAAACTTTAGCAATCTGGCGACCCCATGTCCAACTCTCCTACTATATCCGGGCTTGAGGCCGGCAGTATCTAGAAGAGGCAATCCATAACTTGGAATCCTTATGGGAAGCGGAAAAAAGGAAGGCCGAAGAACACACTAACTCGGTAAATGGAAGCAGATATGAAAAGGATGAATAACAACTGGAAACAGCTGGAAAAAACTGCTCAGGATAAGGTTGGATGGAGAGTGCTGATGGGTCGTCTATTCTCCTCCACGAGGGGTGACAGGCATATATATATACATCCTAACATTTTTAACGATTTAAATAATAAAAGGAACTAATGATTAGGAATTGGTGATTTCTATGATTATCAAAACAAATGTGAGATGTGATGATTATTGTATAAATCTGTATTTGCATAAATATTCTAATAGAGTAAATTGCAGTTAATAACTGAAGCGTAATAAACAACATAAATATATTTTGATGATATAACTAAGTAAATTGCCTTTTCATATATCTATATTATTATGAATAGGTGATAATAATCTTATGAATAGAATAAATTTACATCACTTTTATTCAATTCATTTGTTGCTATTTGATTAGGTGGTATATAAAAGTAATTTATCTGTTAACAATGAGTCAATAATTTGTCCCACTAATCACTACGACTTTTTAAGGAGATAATGATGATGAATAAAATGTCTTAATGGATGCAGGTTTTATGGCTGCTATCACTTGTTAGTAATCTTGAAAGAGTATACTTGCTTGTTTACTTACGCCTGTTACTCCCAGTAGAGCATAGGCCACCAATCAGCATTCTATGACCCACTCTGTCCTGGATCTTCTTTTCTAATTCCATCCAATTATTGTTCTTTTTTTTCATGTTTATCTCCATTTCTCGGCATAATGTGTTCTTTGATCTTCCTCTTTTCCTTTGTTTAGCCATGAGGATTCCATGTGAGGGATTGCCTTATGACTCAGTTGGGTGCTTTCCTCAATGTGTGTCCTATCCACTTCCAGTACTTCTTCCTGATTTCTTCCTCCACTAGGATCTGGTTTGTTCTCTCTCACAGTTGATCGTCGCTAATAATGTCCGGCCAACAGATCCGAAGTAGTTTGCGTAGACATCTGTTAATAAACACTTGTATCTTCTGGATGATGGATTTCGTAGTTCTCCAAGTTTCTGTTCCATACAGTAGAACTGTTTTTATATTTGTATTGAAAATTGTGACTTTGATGTATATATTAATATATATATATATATATATATATATATATATATATATATCCCACAATATATCCGGACAGATGTCGTTAAGTGTCATAGGTTTATTTATATATTCATAATTATTACATCACAAACTAGGAAACATATTCCCTCGGTTTATCTAAACAATACTTTGAAAAAAAGCACGGTTTCACAGTAAATAAAATTTCTCTATGTATATGTGTTTGTTGTGCTTATTCACCAGAATGATTTCATTCTTTTGAATTTATACGCGAATCAACCTAATTGGCAAATTTCTCAAAATAAAGCTGGATAGCAGCTGATAATGAAACTCGAAACGTGATTTTCATACTATTTGGATCTCTTCACCATGTGCACCTGCATCCGGCGTGAAAAGCATCAACACCGGATTGTGAATACATTGTAAATAGGATGAATCATGTGTTCTAGAATTTATCATTAATCATCGTTCAACTATACTATTTATGAAAAAATGCTTATGATCTAATGGCAATATCAAAACAACCTGCACAGGATGTACTTACACTTAAAGAGACTGATCCATCGTAATCCTAACACATCAATGGAGAGTTGATCACAACAAACTCTTCACAGATTTTTTTCATCTCCACTTGCTCTTTCAACTAGTTACTATGGAAAAAGAATTTTCGGATTCTTTTTTCTTTGGTTTCACTGTAACTAGTTTTTGTAGGTTTTTTTTAATTTTTCAACTGTATATCAATTATCCCCCCCCTCGACGTATCATTTTTGTATCTCAATTTGTACCTCAATTTTAATTCCCTTCCCTATTGAAGTGATTTCAATGGTGATTATTATTGTTGTTTAGAGTTTAGATTTTTCTAAAGACCCTTAGGCGGTAGACATTTAAACATCATGATTATATTGTGAATAGATAATAATTAGACTATCGAATTCAGTAGTGTTAGCGGTAA